CAGGGAGATCAGCTCGGTGCTTTGTGACCACCTAGAGGGGTGGGACAGGGAGGGTGGGAGGGAGACGCAAGAGGGAGGAGATATGGGGATATATGTATTATGTATAGCTGATTCACTTTGTTATACAGCAGAAACTAACACACCATTGTAAAGCAATTATACTCCAATAAAGATGTTTTAAAAAAAAAAAGTGTATGAACATCCTCTGTAAGTGGAAAAAGGACATGAATTGATTGTAACTTGCTATTGGTGACTTATCCCTATTTCCTCATCAAACCAACAGTGGGACCCCATTCACAGTGTGAATCACAACAGGGAAATCACATAACCCTAAGAAGAAGAGAAATACCATCTCCATCATAACCCTCCCTGACAACCAGAAAGACACACAGGCACACACAGGTCCCCTGCACCCTCACTGGGTTGCATCAAATGAAAGGGAGCAATTGCTCTGTCGTGAAAATTCATCACTATTTTACATATTTCTTTGTTAGGCTCAAAAGTTTATACCATCTCTTGCTTTTGGTTTTCACGAAAAACAATGAGCCATTTTACGATAGGTTTCCAGCCTTAAACACACGCACACATGCGCACACACAGTTGCTTAGCCTCCGTTTCACTGTTGACAGTCCTTGCAAACTGTTCCACTTAGATTTTATGTCATTTTGGTTTCCTTCTCAAAACTGCACCTAGCCATAGCACAGCAATCTTCACCACATTCTAGAAGAGGCACTTAAATCTACTCTTTCATTTAGCACAGTTAGGGCATATGAAACAGGCTCTCTGAGTCTGGTAGTAGGACCTCATGTGTGTTATTTACTCTGCAAATTATTTAAGGACCCGCCCCAAATGGGAAAACCATTTCAAAGGAGTTGAAGTAAAATCCAAGTCAGGCTAATTTCCCAGCCACCATTTTCCGATTAGGTTAAAGGGAAAAGCCTGAGTTGAGCATATATTATAGTTCCTCCCACTGGAGGAACTGTTACCTTTCAGTTAAATTTCACCAATTTGCACTGAAAAGCAGTACATAGACTAGAGAAACACGAGGAAATGGCGACGCTGGTTTGACGCCACCTGTCCTGAAGCACATCGAGGGCCCTTCAGCGATGGTGGAGACTTACAGTAGAAACATCACGGAGCAGAGACTGTGGAAACAGCTGACGAGGAACAGATGTGAGGTCCTGGCAGAGGAGGGCTGGGTTCCAGAGTCAAACAGCAGGAGGCCTATGCCTTTCTTCACAGTTTTTCTTCCGTTTGGAATTGCCCCTCCTCTCACAACCTGTCAATATCCTGCCCATCTTTCCAGGCTCAGCCCAAACACACTCTTCCATGAAACCATCCTGGAGTCGTCTCTTTTCCTGCTGGGTTCCTAAGGCTTTGTTTACATCTTTCATGAAGGACCTTCTCTCAGCTCCTGGAGGGGAAGCTCTGTGCACCAAGCACTGTTCTGAACCCTGATCCCGATTTTCTCTAATCCTCACAACAAGCTGCACAGTAAGTACTGGCCCCATTTCACAGATGAGGAAACTGAGACTAAGTGAGGTTACATCGTTGGTCTGAGGACTGTCAGCTTTTAAACAGAAGAGTTGGAATCTGAACCAAGCTCACGGCAGTTCATAGCCTTCTGCTCTTTCACATCATGCTATCCAAGTGGTGACTGAAAAGTATATTTGAAATGAAGGCAATACTAAAATAATTCAAGACTTGAAGGCCTCTATACCTAGATAAGGAAGTATCAATAAACTTATTATTCTATGACTGTCAAGGCAATGTGAAAATGTCCAAGTTGGCAGGAATGTGGTAAATATGAAATAAAAGTACAAGCTTGTGGGCACCCAAGAGGGGTTTGTAAATTCAAGCAATCTACGTGAGAAAATATTAAACTAGAATTTATCACTGTGATACCTTTATATATGTATTGCCTGGAAGTTTTTAAGAGCCTTCAAGTGGCTGAAGATAATATGCAGACAAATGTGACACACTATATTACTTGTGTTATGGTAACAGAATATTTTTATTGTCGATTTATATAATGTACTATGTGCAGAGCACCTATATAAATATCAACTCAAAAATGGAAGTTAAATACTCAGATACCTTCCTTCTTACATGTCACATTTTATGGATGTGATTCTACCAAAAACTAGCTGAGCTTATAATTAGCAGCCAATTTATTTTCAAAATCACTCTAACATTTAGAGTGCTTGTTACATCCCTAGCAATCAGGTACTTTAAAATCATTACTGCATTTCATCCTCAAAACAACCTCATGAGGTTGACAGTATTATTATCTCCACTTTACAGATGAAGAAACAGGCTTGTAAGGTTCAGACAATCAACCAAAATCACACACCTGGTCAACAGAGACCCTGAGACTCAATCCCCGAGCCTTCTGACTCCTGGGCCTTGCAGTTGATGTCATCAGCCTGAATCGATGTTGCCAAATGTGATTACATCTTATCTCTCTATTTTGTTACAGAAAAGTTTTCAGCTCAATGAACTTTAATGTTTACTTCAATTAGATATAGTATAATGCATTTATATTATTATTAACATATGTAATTACGTTTACGAGACCTAGTATAATACATCTATGTTGTTGTTAACATATTTAATACAAGAAATGTTGCTCTTTTTCTGTCCCCACCCCACCCCCACCCCCCGCAGGATTTGGGGGAAGTGGGAGGTAAGGAGCTCTGTAAGGAGAAACCTTTATTACATTTATATGTACCTACTACATATGTATAGATGTAGAGAAAAGGGCTATAAGAGTAACAATAGCTACCATTTACTAAAAACCTGGCATATTTGCATTTTATAGACACTGCCTGTAGCCTTTACAGTAATCCCACACCTCCCCCATTTAATAAGAGAGGAAACAGACAAATACCTGGAGTTACCACCCAAGACTGTTTCTCTCCAAAGGCCGAGGCTTTTCTACTACCTGTGCAGTCTCTGTATCTACAGGCCAAAGTAATTCCAGAATACCACTATTATCTGTGACTGTCTTATGCCCATCCACTGACACAGGGATTCCAGAAGGAGATAAGCAGAGGATCTCATTACTCATTAAGTGGTTCCCAGGTGTCGTAAAGACCTTGCTGAGCCCTTGCTAATCAGGGTCATAGACAACATTTCAGAGCAGCAGCAAAACCTCTTGGAAACCCTCTGACCCAACGCCCTCATTTTGCTGCAGAAACGTCAGAGGCCCAGGCAGGAAACAGGACGTGTCCAAAGTGACAGCATGCAAGTAACGAAGCCGGGGCCAGGACTCCGCTCTCCACTCCTTCTCCACCCTGGGCCTCCCTTCCTGCCAAGGAGGGAATGGGCACGAGGGCCCCAAATCTATGTCCCGATCACGCAGCACAACGGGAGATCAGTCCGTGCTTATAAACCTCACATCACGTACAGAAGAATCGCTGTGCAGCCCAATCCCGCAGGGGCCCCTTCCCACCAGAGTCTGTGCTGCACAGACACCCGAGGGTGGGTGAAGCCCCAGGACACGGCCCGAGTTACTGCTCCCATCACCCCACGGGGCTGGGGCAAAGCCTCAGCCGCCGGAGAAAACGCTGAATGGCAGCCCCTATCTCAACACCTGCTTTTCTCCAGAGATGCTCAAATGTTGGGGGGAAAGACAGGGCTGAGCTTCACCAAAAAGGCAAGGTCGTGAAAGAAACACCCACACACTGGCCTAGGTCTCTGGAGTATGATCTGGGAATCAGGAGCTGGACGTGATTAAGGTAAAGAGGAAATGTCTGAGATCTGCTTATTCCACATTCAACCTTACCTTCATCCATCACCCGCTTTTTAAAAAGTTCCTTCTTTTAAATTTCTTCATCTGAGAGGCAGCATGACACCGTGGAAAAGCATGGAGTCTAGAGTCATGCAGGAACAGACTGAACGTGAGGTGCAAATGTTGAGGAAAGCTGTTTCATCTCTCCAAGCCTCAGTTTTACCAACTATAAAATGAGGATGGTGACATCGAGGACACTCACAAAAAATTAATAACCCATATACTTTTTATGTGCGCGCATGAGCGTCTGTGAGCGATAGAAAAATGATTTGCACGTGGACTCTGAATAGATGGCAGCTACTGTTCTGTTATACGTGTGCTTTCCCCCTTCTTTTCTTCCACAATATATATACCACTTAATAAAAACCTAGCTCATTACTGCTAACTTGATGTCATTTCTGCAAATGCACAATCTCCCATTAACAATAACCTGGGAGAAAGAAATAGAAGCCCATTAAACGAGCAAGCAATTCTGTTTTGTCCACATCAACTGATGCAATCTATGATGTTCAAGCCATTGTTCAAGCAGAATTACTCTTTCCTCACAAGGCGGGTTTGGAGCCCTCAACACCACGCCCTTGAAAGCCTGTCCCAGCCTTTTCCTCACAGCATAAAAGGGCAGTCAGACGTCCAGAATGCACTGAACAGACCCCGGGGGAGCCCTTTAATGCTATCATTCACTGATTTTTATAATCCAAGAGAGTAACATCGTATTTATCAGTATTTACATTTTTCTTTCTTTCTGCCAAATTACATTCTCCTATCAGATAAGTTCAGTTTTCATCATTCATTCACTAAGTTCATTTAAATCCCAACAGAGTTAAATGTTTTCAGTTGCCATTTTCTGTGAAACTCAATGCCATTTGTGAAAACAACCTTTCCCCCAGTGAAACAATGCAATAATAAGAAATTTTAAAGCGTTCCGCTTTCCTTAAATAATAAAACACAAGTCAAAAATGGAGAGGGAAACCTACAGACTGAAAGGGAAGGAGGAGGCATCAACCAAGTGCAAAGGGCAGACCTTACCTGGAGCCTGATTCAAACCACCAGCGAATGAGATTTCTCAGTGAGATGATTAACAACATGTAAACACTGACGAGAACATTGATGATATTCAGGAAATTCAGGTTACTTTTCAGGTGTAATAATGTGGTAATTTTTTTCCAAAGGTCTTTTAGAGAAAACTAGTGAAATGTTTACAGATGAACTAATCTGAGGCCTAGGATCTGCTTCAGAATAATTTGGGGTGGGAGTGGGGCCGGCAGTGGGCAGGGGGAGAGATGCAGCAAGACTGGCCACGAGCTGATCCTGGCTGAAGCTGGGGGTGGGTTCATGAGTATTCATTACACTGTGCTCTCTATTTTTTACAATTTTTTGTAATTGCCCATTAAAAAGAGAAGTTAAAAGTGAATAAAACTTCACAAAGTGAAACAACTCCCTCCCCAAAAAAAGACATTCTATGATTGCTGGTATCACATCAGGATTCAAATAGTGACATAGATGTGTGCATATTTACTCAGAAGACGAGATTAAAGTATTAAACAACATTAAAAGATCTTTCAAAATTTGAAAGAAACTTTTAACAAACCTTGTAGTTTAAACCAACGCTCTCATTATTTGAAATTCGAGTATATGCAACTCAAAAGTCATGACTCACCTTTTTCAAAGCACAAGCCTTTATTACTTTTTCATATCGTTCTTTTTCATATTTCTTCCCAAATAGAATATTACTCCTCAGAGTTCCTGAAAAAACCCAGGGCTGCTGAGAAACATACGCGATCCTCCCGTGCACGCTGACCAGCCCCTGGCTCGGGGGCAGCTCCCCCAGCACAGCACTCAACAGTGACGACTGAAACAGATGCCAACACACACACGTGAACAGGCAGCACTCAGGACGGACACGCCAGCAGAACAACTGTCCCCACCCTGGGCGCCTGATAAACGATAGAACCCTTTCCTTTAGAATAACGAAAAAATAAGATTCTAAACCCTTTCATTCAGAATCTTATTCTGAAGGAATAGGATTAAGTACAGTATTCTAAACCCTTTCGTTTAGAATAGGATTAAGGCAGTCAGGACAAAAGTAAAAGGAAGAATAACACCATTGGTCAAGGTAAACTAATGGTTGATAAGGATTATTAATAAAGTGCTATATTCAGCAAAGACTAATTAAGAATGTTTAGGGCTTCCCTGGTGGCGCAGTGGTTGAGAGTCCGCCTGCCGATGCAGGGGACACGGGTTCGTGCCCCGGTCCGGGAAGATCCCACATGCCGCGGAGCGGCTGGGCCCGTGAGCCATGGCCGCTGAGCCTGCGCGTCCGGAGCCTGTGCTCCGCAATGGGAGAGGCCACAGCAGTGAGAGGCCCGTGTACCGCAAAAAAAAAAAAAAAAAAAAAAGAATGTTTAACATTCTTAACTAGCAGAGCAGCCCAGCAGGACGTGTATTTCATGTATCTGATGTTTAATGCAGCTGTTCTTGCATCCAGGTATCCTTTACTTGACAGATACTTGCTCTTAAAAAGCTGTGTGTGAAGAATATATCCAAAATTATTAAAAGAACTCTGAAGTGAGTTGTGTCCAAAGAGCAAAAGTCCGTCATAAAGGAAGTCATCACCCTCTTGTGTACACATCCCCTTCTTGTGTACACATCCCCCTCTTGTGTACACATCCCACGTTTAGATTTCTGTATTTTGTTGTACAGAACACAGGAGACTAAGCGCACGTGCACGTGTCCTTAAAATCTTTAACAACACACAGAGGTGGCGCATCTGTGTCCACAGCATCACAGCGCTCACCACGCTGGGCTGAAATAGTCTGCCTGCGTATCTGTCTCGCCCCAGAACCTGGCTGCCTCTGGAGGGCAGAGGCGTCCGGGGCTTGCTCACGTCTGTATCTTTAGCGCCAGCACATGGCCGCACACTCACTACACGTGCACTGACGGGACCACGTCAAGTCACGTGAGGAAATGCTCAGAGCTTCCCGGAAGAGCCATTACCACCTCCAGACCTCCTGGAGGGCCCACTGTGACAGAAAGAAGTCCCCACTGTCTCATCCTGTCCTGAACAGCTGTCACATAAACCATTTCCTTCACTGAGACGTCCAAAGTCCCGACAAGCAGTTCCCAACTGTGTAACAGGAAGCACCAGGAAGGAAAACACAACGTGCTTACTAGCTTATTAAAATAATGTACTTAATAGAATATTCAGTATGAGGCTTTTAATCATTTGTAAGGTTTCATTATGACCCTTGGTTTTAACTGTCTATTTCACTAATCTCCACAAGGTGGCAGCATAAGTGCATACATGCCTGGCCCTTTACTAATAAATAATTTGAAATCTCCACTAATCGCTCCATTTTCATTCGATAAAGAATGAATCTCAGTAATGCTCAGCACGCAAAGGGGCACTTTATAGGATAAAGTCACTCTTGGTAAATTAACTCTTACAAATAACGGTCAAAGCTCTAATTTCACGAGAGCTCTAATTGAACACCAACAGCAACAAAAAAATGGGGAATAAAGAAATTAATTACGGGGACTTCCCTGGTGGCGTAGTGGTTAAGAACCGCCTGCCAATGCAGGGGATCCAACACAGCCAAATATAGATGAATAAATAAATTTTAAAAAACTCTATTAAAAAAATTAATTATGACATCATGGGTCAGAGTGATAAAGCCTCATATTTATACATGTTTCATGCATTACCTGTCCTGGCTAAACAGGGGCAATAAAGTACTTCTACTGTAAGAAAAACAAAAAACATGAAGATACCTGCAACAGCACACAATCCAACGCGAGGGAGAAGGACAAAGTACTCATCATGCCAATCACAGGTAGTATTCCTGAGAGACGTAAGAGTGTATGCATGTGTTAAGAAAACTGTCAGTAACTGCTAATGTTTAAAAAGAAAAAAAAGAGTGGTCACACTTGATTAGTAAAACCCCAAAAGATCGAAAGGCAGAGTCTGCATCATCTTCAAAATGAAAAGTTTTGCTGGAAAGAACTAAACTAATTATAAAACATTCACATACTAAAAAAAAATGACAATTATTTTTCATCACCAAAAAACCTAGCCCCAGATTTTATAGGTATTACAAATCTATCAATAAGAGGCTAGATTTTAATACATGAGAAACATTTTTTAAGCTTCTCCATTCCTTTCTTCCTGTCTGACACCTAGGGTTCCCATTTTACTACCTTTCACTCAGTTACGACAACAAAACAATGAGCCACATACAAACAACAGCTTCCCGTTGCAGCCCTTCACAGTCTGTCAGGGCCAGACACTGAGTTCCCTCCCTGTTCAGGCTTCAGGATCGGGCACTGCTCTGCCGTGACCAGAAGGGGGCAGCACTCGACAGCGCAGGGGTACCGGGGACTGTCTCCTGATTATACAGGCTCGGGGGCACTGACTCAACAAGGACCGTCTGAGGGATGATCATCTGATCATCAGCTGAGCCCCACTGTGTAACAGAGACCATTTGAAATCCCTGCCCCGTGGAGATTTGGAGGCTCTCACAGGACCGTTTATTTTAAAGCTTCAAGACTGAGACCAAGTCCCATCATTTCATGAATGAGACCTGGGTCCCCGAAAACCTCCCCCACCTGCCCACCTGGCTGTACAGTGGAGCAGGTTACAGAGCTCATGTCTATCTCCTGCCTCCCAACCCAGCATGCCCTTCATTCAGAAGCAGCTTCTCCCCAAAACCTCCAATGTCTGTGCCCCTCCCGCTCCGAGGGCTCTCTCACCCATGACCTAAGTCGACAGGTCCTAATTACTAACGACCCCAGCGTGGAGCAGAATCCTTCCATAGGCAAGGCCAGGACAACAGAATAGGGTGTTCTGTAGCATAATGCAAGTTGCACAGAAGTCTGAGAACATGTTACTAAGTTCTTGAAAGAAGAACAAAGGAGCTCATTTTAAAATGCTACATAGTTTGGTACAAAAGAAATTTGGTAATGGGTCATTCAAAGTACGTGTTAGCATTCACACAGAGTCGCCTTTATAATGGAACTTTAATGATGCCTTCCATAAATGTGCATTATGATGAGAAATACCACACTGGAGGTAAATCCATGTGCACAGAGGACCATGAAACCAGGGTGCAGGGGGAGCGTTTCAGTCGTCGGTAAAGGGGCTGCACAGGGTGTGCAATATTGACAACTTCTTGAGAGCAGACCCTGTGTGTTTTCTGTTTGCCTGAACATCATAAATAAACCAAGTGTTGGAAAATCACCAGTTCTCCCTGTCAGCTTGCCACACAGTGCAACCCTCCAACTGGGAATCACTGGTGCTCACTATGTCCTCCTGCTGTCGCCTCCCCGTCCCTGGCTGCCACCAAAGTAGCCAGAACCATCTAGAAGCTTAGGATGGGGAGCCTCCACCCTGCCCGACAGTAAAGATCTGTATGAAGATCCATGGCTTCACTCCGTATGTAATAAGATGATCTGAGAATTCAAGGCAAAAAATGTACACTGATTCCCCAAAGCCTCTGGTCTGTAACAACTGTTTATGTACCTGTTAGTTAACCCATTCCATACTGCAGCATTTTGTCTGTCCAATCCTATAAAGTCTAACATTACAAACGTATGTACTTGAAGTTCAAAATGTGCTAACACTTTGAAAGCTCTCCTGAAAATGAGAGAGAGAGCAACATGTCAAACATCTTAGGCTGATTTTATACTTAATCTTCAGTAGTTGCAAACCTATTCCTGATTTTGAGAATTTTTATAACATACTTTCAGTAAATGAGCAAATCACACTTTACAACATGTGTAAAGTCTGAAAATTCTCTGATAAATCTATGTCTTCAGTTGCCTGTTAGCAGTCAAGATTCTTAGAATGAAGAATTTGTTACCTCATCCCAAAAGGCAGTGAAATCTTGCACGTCCACTATGGTTTTACCATCTGATGGCAGCTGAGGGTTGCACTGTGATATCTCATCAAGTAACGGAAAAGTCTACAGAAAAGGAAAAACAGATTGTTTAAACTGCAGGAACAAAACGCAAACAAAAATAATCGCTTTCCTGGAATTTGCAAGAAAAAACTTTATACAGCTTATATATCATTTTGCCAACTATATTTAAAATGTTGGTTCACATCAGAACATACTAAGTAATATATAGAATAATATATACTATTATTATAGCATATAGTATATACAATCATACAGTATACATAGTATACATGTATAGATTATTTTATATATTATATATATATTATATATGTTTGTATGTGTGTGTGTATGTATGTATGTGTGTGTGTGTGTGTGTGTGTGTGTATATAAATAAATAAATAAATAAAATAAAGAGTTCCAGGCCATGAGAAAAGTTGTAACTTTCTCAACAAGTATACTGGTTTACTAGCTCCTCCTTAAGGAGAAAATATGGCTCCAAACTCCAACACATGTAAAACCTGGACATTTTTATTGTTTTACTTTTGTGTCACTAACAACAAACAGGGGAGTTGGCGTTGGTAGGAAATGATTCCATAAATATTTCCTGAATCCCACCATACACCAAGCACCATGTGACATACTAGGAACACAGAGAGGAAGGCCATTCCCAGGCCTTCAGGAATCAGGTGGCACAGGACAGGCTGGGAACACAAGACAAATGGCAGAGACTCTGAACTAAAACCCTGGCTCCGCCTGTTTTGAGTCGTGACCTTTTCCTGGGCACTTAAGTATACTCTGGTCTTCTCACGCACGTTAACTCAATATCGCTGCTTGCCATTAACTATCACTCAAGTCACTGTTCTAAAAATGAAACGCTCTTATTAAGTTTCTATCTCTTAAAAAATAGTTTACAAGCATCTATTCACAATCACTTGTCTCTCCTTAGTCAGTGCCC